GCGTCGCCGCTTGTGCTGCACGCGACGTCGCTGTTGCGGACGCAGCTGCGTGTGAGCAACACTGTGCTGAGGTCGTTGCACGCGGGCGGGTCGGCGGTGTGCGTTGGCGGCGGTGTGGACCTGCTGTCGAGTGCGGTGGTGCTTGACGGTGTGTCGCTGGAGGCGTCGGGCGGTCCGACCGCGTCCGCGATGCGTGTGGCGTCCTCGTCGCGTCTCAGCCTGCGGAGCCACTCGGTGTTCTCTGTGACGAACGTGTCGGTTGTGAGCAGTGGCGGCGGCTTTGTGCTTGGAGAGCGCCTCGCGGTGTCCGACTCGGTGCTGCGCTTAGTGGGCGTCGAGGGGTCTGTTGCGTCGTCGCTGGTGCGCTGCGATGGTGGGACGGCCGGTGTCGGCGGGTGGGTGGAGCTGCGCGACGTGTGGGCGGTGGGCGAGGCGTCGTCGGTGGCGTCGCTGTCGGGTGTGACGCTGAGCGGCGGCGCCGTGTCGATTGTGCGCTGTGCTGCCACCGGCGCGACGCTTGTCTCCGGGCCGACGATCACGAGCGGCGCTGTGTCGGTGCAGTGCAACCGTGCCGGCGGCCGGGTGCTGCAGAGCAGCGGCGACTACCGCATGGCCGGCCTGCTCTCCGTGAGCGTGGTGCCGTGCGACGGCTGTGCGGCTGCGGTGGCGTGCTTCGATGCGCTGACGGCGTCGTTCTCTGACTGCGTGTGCAGCTGCCGTGCCGGCGGCGTGGGCGAGGCGTGCCTGCCGTTCGGCGTGCCGCCTGCGAGGCCCGGCGGCGGTGGTGGCGGTGCGCAGGGCTGCGTGAGTGGCGTGACGCTGACGGAGTCGGTGACGGTTGGTGGCTGGCGTGCGACGGCGTGCTTCGACTCGGCGGTGTTCAGCGGGTCGATCACTGTGGCGGTGGATCTGCGCTTGATGGACACGTTCGCTGACGCGCTGAACGTGACGCTGTGCCACTGCGTGCTTGCGGACGGCGCGCAGCTGCGGATTGGCGGCCTCAGCGAGAGCACGGCGCGCCTGATGCCCCACGCCCTCGTCAACATGATGAATGTGACGTCGCTGGAGGGCACGATTGTGCTGCAAGGCGCGATGCCGCCGAACTCGAGTGTGCTGCTGGCGAACTCAACGCTGCGCGCGACGGTTGACGGGTCGCAGTACGTGCCGACGACCCGTGGACACGAGAAATTTCGGTACGGCCCCGCGCTTGTCCTGGACGGCGTCCGGCTACTGTCGACGCGGTTTGTCATGACGCGGTCGACGCTGGTGTGTGGCGGGGGCTCGTGCGCTGCGATCCTTGTGGAGCGCAGCTTCGTTGTGAACCTGTCCAGCGTCTTCTACATGGACAACTGCATTGTCATGTCGCAGACGCACGTGATGTACGCCCTTGCGTCGGACCTGCGTGTTGGCGACGGCTCCGTGTTCTCCATACAGAACAGCTCGTGGAGTGCGCCGAGCACCGAATACTACAAAGGCGCGTGTGTGTTTGGGGACGTTGCGGTGGCTGGCGGCAGCGTGCTGCAGATCGTGTCCAGTAATTTCCGTCTTGGCTTCGCCATGCTCACGGCAGCCACGCTGACCGTGACTGGTGGCAGCTGGCTGGTGCACCGCGACAACGAGTTCCGCACCGCCTACGTTGTGTACGTTGTCAACGAGAATGGCGTGGCGTTCCGCGATCGGAGTTTGTGGTCGATACTACACAACAGCTTCACGTCCGGCTCGTACCCGTCGCCCCATGCACACATGACGAGCAACTGGTTACCACCATCCGACACGCACCCGATCATCTACGGCGTGTGCAACGACGCAAGGGGCTCTCCTGTGACGAATTACCGAGTCGACCTCAATATTGGAGCACCCGTGACGGTGTTGGACTGCGGTGCGTGCACGGTGGACGCTGTGTGCTTCGCTGCGAGGACGAGCAGCATCAGCGGCTGTGAGTGTGTGTGCGCTGCTGGTGGCCACGGTGACACGTGTGTGCCAGCTGCGGTTCCGGACGGTCTTGGGCCGCTCCCGCTCCCTGACACGAAGGACACGGAGGTCCGCTGCGTGCACGGTGGCAGCATCAGCTCTTTGGACTATCCTGATCCCGGTGTGCGTGGTCTTTGCCTTGTCAACGTGACCTTCACTGCCGCGATCGCGCTGGACTTGTCGCGATTTGACGCGCCGCAGCAGAAACTCAACATCACGCTGCTGCAGTGCGTCCTTGTGGGCCTGTCGATCAGGGGGAGTGGTGCGAGCGTGCACGTGAACGTGACATCCTCGATGCTGGATTCTGGTGATTTGGAGTTTAGGGGTGATTTTGGCACGAGCTCCCAGATACTGGTGGCGGGCAGTACGCTTGTGACGACGTCTGGCCACGCCGTTGCCTTTCCGGAATTTACTCTTGGTGCGACCTCGACGCTGCTGCTACTTGACAACCGCATTGAGGGGAATAGTTACGCAGTTTATTTTATCAATGCTGCTGTTGTTGATGGTGGCGGGATTATTGTGAAGGGAAATATGCTGATGGCAACGGATAATAGACACCGTATGGGTTCAGCCGTGTATTTTCATGCTGTTGACGTGAAGAACGGCGGCTACTTTGGCATTGAGAACAACGCGATGAGCGCAGTTAGTGGCATTTATTTTTATGGGGACATCATCGTGAGCTCCGCTGGGCTGCTGCGAGTGGCGGACTGCACATTTGCTGGCAGCAGGAGGGTTGTGAATTGCGGGCTGTTGTTTTTGGACGGCTCTGTGACTCTCCGGGGCGGTGCGCAGTGGCGTTTGGAGGGCAACAACGTGAGCGCAGCCTCAGTGTTGAGTATGCCACGTTCCCAGCAGAAAATTCAGCTGTCGGGCAACGGCACCACCGTGGCGCTTGCAAATAACCGTCAGGTGGAGGATAGTTATTCCTTTGCTGATATGGCTCTGTCGAGCATGGTCAAGAAGCCACCCGCGCGTTTTGTGGTTGGATGCAACCTGCAGGGCGATGAGGAGGTGTTGTACGACGGTGTGTTTCCGGAGGGCGTGGTGGTGTTTGGGTGTGGCACATGCAACGACGACGCGGCGTGCTACATGCCCGGGACGGAGTCGGTGGACCGCGGCTCGTGCTTGTGCAGCTGCAAGGACGGATGGCATGGCGCGTCGTGTCTTCCCTTCGAGGTGCCCGACACGGTTTTGCTGCCCTTGCCGGAGAGAGCCGTTGACGGCGACACGAGCTGCGTGGTGAACCAGACGCTGACGGAAATCACGCTGAACATGTGGAAGACGCACCACTGCTACGTGGGTGTGATATTCAGCGGCGTGGGTGCTGCGTTGACGTTTTTCTTCGACAGCATGCCGCTGCATCTCCCCATCAACATCACGTTTACTGGGTGCACATTCCGCGACGGTGCCGCACTGCAGTTTGTTGGTGGTGCTGAGGCGGCCGAGTCATCCGGCGTCCTGATCCGCGTGAGCCGGACGGTGATGCGGTCCTCTGTCGTTGTGTTTGCACTCGCCCTCCCGCAGCACTGCGACATCGTTGTCACGGAGGTTGATGCGGCGCAGTCTTCCGCGGTCTATTTGCCGGACACCGGGAGGAACAAGTTTAGCGTATTGTTACTGAAGAAGGTTGTGTTGACTGCGTCCTCGCTGTTGGTGAGCAACGCCAAAGCGCATGCATTTGGTTACGGTGGGTCTGGTTTGTACTCGGTTGGGACGCTGACGCTGGTGGGTGGCAGCTCGCTGTACACGCGGTACTGCAGCTTCGATGGCTACGCACACCTGTTCCAAGTGCCTATGCCCAGTGTCCGCGACCACTCTGTTTTTGCGCTGCTCAACAATACGATGTCCTCCGGGGAAAGCCTTCTGTATATACGCCACGGATTTAGCGTGTCGGATCACAGCGTGCTGCGCGTGGTGGGGAACAGCGCTCCCGTGGCTTGCGCTATCTATGCATGCAGGAAGTGGTCTCTTGAGCAGTCAAGCTGGCTGGATTGGCGCGACAACAAATTGGGGGTGGGTGCGATGTTCCACGAATCCGAATCCGCTTTTGTGAGCATTGACGGCAGCAGTGTGGTGACGCTGACGGGCTGCACGATGGGCTCGACGGGGTTGTCGGTGCCTTTGCTGAAGCGGGTTGGGGCTGGCTACCGGTTCGTTGCTGGGTGCCTGACGGTTGCGGGACGTGTGGTGACGACGGCGGCAGAGCTGGCGCTCCACGGCATCACCAACGTGACGACGGTTGCTGCGTGTGGGCAGTGCACGAAGGACGGCGACTGCTTTGCTCCGCTGACGACGGCGGTCATTGACTGCAAGTGCCAGTGCGCTGCTGGAGGGCACGGCGATGTGTGCGTCCCGGCGCCTGTGCCTGCTGGCCCGCCACCACCGCCGCCAGTGCCGCCGCCATCACCCACGCCGTCACCACCGCCTGTTGGTGAGTGCATCAGCGACATGGTGTACCCCGAGGTGGCGCAGGCTGTGGGTGGCGGGCTGTCGTGGCTGTGCTACCGCAATGTGACGTTCAGCGGGGGCGGCATGAGCCTGACGGTGCTGATTGGGGCGATGACGGGCGATGTGGTGAACGTCACGTTCGATGGATGCACGTGGAGGGACGGCGCCGTGCTGTTGCTCTTGGGCAACGCGCACGCCGCTTTGGGTTCGCTGAACATCGTCGTCACCGGCAACATGTTCGATGACGCGCTGCTCTGCCCGGAGGGTGTGTTTCCACCGCACACGAACATCACGATCAACGGGAACCGCTTCACGGTCACGAGGCTTATCCCTCGACCGGGTTTGGGCCTTGACAGCCCGTCGTGTGTTGCGATGAATGGACTGGCGATCAGCAACGACTCCGCGGTGGTGCTCAGTGGCAATGTGTTTCAGAGCGTGAGGGCATCCTTAAACGTCATTTACTTCGTTGAGTCTTCGCTGAGGGTGTCGTGGCACTCCCTGTTTGCGGTTGTGGGCAACTCGTTTCATGTGGCTGGCGGTGACGGTACGCTGATAAATCTTGAGGGGTCTAGTCAGTCATTTTCACTGGATGTGCTAAACAACTCTGCCGTGGTGATCCGAGGCAACGTTGTGACGAGGCCGGTGCGGTACTTCATGTTGTTTCTTTGGGCATCACGTGTGGAGTCCCAGTCAGCGGTTGTGTTTCAGGGCAATGACATGCAGGGAAGCTTGGCTGTGTTTTATTCAACTTTTGCCGTCAACATCCACTACAGCTCGTGGCTGCAGGTGAGCGGCAACCTCTGCCGTGAATCCCCATCGTATGCGTTTACTTTCTTTGACCCCACGGTGAATCTCCGCGACTCCACGGTGACTGTGTCCGGCAACCAATTTATGTCCAACAATGGAGTGACCAAAGCGCTACTGATATCTGCAGTTTCTAGTGTTCTTACAAACGGAGCGATTGTGGCTGCGTGCAACACTGTGAACGACGGGGGGGAAGCGAACTACAGCATTCCGTCCGTGTACAATGCCACAATCCTGACCTGCAGCGACCCATGCACCCTCGCGGCTTCGTGCTTCCCCGCGTACACGACGACGGTCTCGAGTGATGGCTGCGCCTGCACGTGCGCGGAGGGCGGCCACGGCGATGCGTGCCTGCCCGTTGCTGTTCCCGAGCCACCGAGCACCGACGGCGCCGACTTGTGCGTGCGTGACGTGAGTGTGGATGTGGAGGTGAGCGCCGTTTTCGGGACGTCGGTGGTGTGCTACGTTGGTGTGACCTTTGCGGCGGACGTCGTTGTGGACGTGGAGTCGATGTCAGGGAGCGTGCGCAACGTGACGCTGGCGAACTGCACGTTTGTGGGCGGAGCGAGCCTGTACGTTATTGGGTGGCTGTCCGACCCGCCTGCTGGCCAGCGCGCCGATGTGTTGGTCAGCGGGCTTGAGTCGCGCTCCGGCGGCGGCGTGGTGGTGG